ACAGAGACCAGGCGTCAGAAATTGGTTGCTGTTACAGGAAGAGAAAAAGACTTTTTTTTTTTTGTCTTTTTGAGGCAGAGTCTCCCTGTAGCCCCAGCTGTCCTGGAACTCACTATGTGGACCAGGCTGGCCTTGAACTCACAGAGATCCGTCTGCCTCTGCCTCCCAAGTGCTGGGATTAAAGGCATGTGCCACCATGCCCGGCTAAGAATAAGACATTTTTTTAAAAACCTACACAAGAGGGCCTGGGAGATGGCTCAGTGGGTAAAGTGCTTGCTGTGTGAACACGAAGATCTGAGTTCGGATCCCCAGCACCCATATGCAGAAACAGAAGAATCTCAGGGCTCACTGACCAGCCATTCTAGCTGAATCAAGAGCTCCAGTTTCAGTGAGAGACGCTGCCTCAAAATAAGGTAGAGACTGAGGAAGCTACTTGTGACGCCAACCTTCAGCCTCCACAGGCACAGGTGTGCACATGTGCACAGGTTTACATGTACACGCACACACTCCATACATGAAATACATCTGTATTAATAGAACTGCCGTGCTGGTGGTGGGTCCTGTTGCTATGAAGTAGGATTATAAGTGAGCATTGCACCATGCACTGTGCCCAGCATTTGGTTTTGTTTATTTAAATTACATTTATTTATGGGGGACCGGCACACCACGGCGTGTGTGGAGGTCAGGGGACAATTTTAGAGAGTCAGTTTTCTCCTTCCACTATGCGGGTCCTGGGAAGCAAACTCGGGTCAGGCTTGGCTGCAAGCCCCTTCGCCTGCTGAGCCATCTTGCTGGCCCTTGTGCCTAGCATTCTGTCCATTCCTGTCCTCTATACACATAAAGAAAACCCTGGATATGCATCTTATAGGTGGGGATCCTGAAGCCCCAAGAGGGTGAGTGGCTTGCCCAAGGCCACACAGCTGTGGTGTGGTAGAATCTGAACAGTTCAAGGCGGTGTGATTCTGGAGCCCAAACCTGTACCCAGGTGACCACAGCCCAGAATGACACACAGCTGGCTGCCTCTCTAGAAATTCTTCAGAACACACACTGCCTCCTCTTACCTGTCTCCTCTTTGTTCTTTCAACACTACCAGTGTCTCACCTACAAGGAAACAAGCCGCCAAGGGCAGCATGTGGGTCCTGGGTGCTGGAGAGTGGGCCTTCCTGGAACTGCCCACCGCACAAGGGCCTCTCATGGGGCAGTGACTACCCTGTCACTCACAGATGTTAGTTAGCTGAGCTGCCCCATGTGCATACTGGTGCTGGTGTTGGATACTGAGGAATAGCCCACCTGGCCCCAGCCACCTGCAGGGCAGACTGGGCCAGACAGAGAACAAGCAGATACAGGGAGATTCTAGGGTGTGAGGTCCCTCTTACCTCCCAGTAACCCAGCCATGCCCGACAGGCTGGGAAGAATAAGAGGATGAAGGCCAGGGTCAGGGCTCTCCTCATGTGGCCATACTGCCTGGAGGTGGGGTGGGCACTTCCTCCTCTTTGCTTGCGCACCCCACGTCTGTCCCTCAGCCCCACCTACCCTTTGCCGCCCACTGTCCCCTATTGCCCTTTGCTGCCTCTTCGTCACTCTGAGCACGCGTAGACAGTCTGTTGTCCCTGGGCTTCCCATTCTCTACACCCCACAGGACTGCATGAGCTTCTGTCACACACGGGGAAGCTTCAGCACCAGCTTCTGGTGACCAGCTCCTCAGATGCCCTCTCACTTCCTTGATCCAGGTTTGCAGATAATAGAAGTCACAAGAGGACGTGGTGAGAGGCAGCCTCCTCACCACAGCTTGGGCCTATATGGGCCCCTCAGAGAAAGAAGCAGTGACACTTCCTGCCACTCGAGGACACTCCCAGAGGGAAAAGGACTTCCAGTCGCACCTGCCTTGGGGAGGGTCTGAGAGGAGTTTGATTGCAGCTCCAGCCAAGCCAGGGGCGACCCCAGACGTCCACACGGGGAACGTCCGGCCTGGAGAAGCTGGCTGGGCCTCCGGGGTTAGCCTGTCGAGGACGATTTCACAGCTGAGTGCTTTACAGTTTTAGTTCTTCTCTGAGGTGACTGTGGCTGCCCCCAGAGAGGAAGACACTTCTAGAAACTCTGGTCAGAGCAGAGCAAGAGGACACTTTGCACTTCTGGGCTCTTCTTGGATTTCCCAGGAATGTCTGTGGTTGGTTTGGTTTGTTATCAACTAGAACCCGACACACAGCAAGTGCTGAGGAAGCATGGGGTCCAAGGGAGATCTAGGGCTGCTCCTGAGGACGCTACGATGCAGCCGTGGGTGAGCTACCGGCCTCTGCCTCAGCCACACCCATTCCTGGTGGGGAGATAGGTTTGCTGAATAGATGCATAGATGAACTGAGCATCTCTAACTGCCTCAGTTTACCCACTGGACTAGTCATTGAACAGGGAGCTTCATGGCCCTTGGGTGCCAGGCTCGGCCCCTTTGGCAGACTTCATTTCCGGAGTGTCGGAAGAGGGTGTACACTTTGTAATGAAAGTCTAGTGGAAACAGGAGAGGAGGTGGGCTCCCATGGAACACGAACCTGTTGATGAAGGAGGGGGGCTGCATACTGACCCCCTTTATAGATCCACCCTCATTAATGGGCCTTTGGACCCTCAGAATGCAAATAGCACTTTTTATACCTGTGGCCTTGTTTGGCTAGCCTGGCAGCCGCTTTCTCCTGGGCTGGAAAAAAAAAAAAAAAAAAAAAAAAAGACTCTTACCTATTTTCCATAAGGAAATCTTTGTAGCAGTCCCAGCGGAAAAGTCAAAAGTTTGATTTGAAAAAAGGAGCTACTTCAAAAGCATTGTCAGGCAGAGGTGAGGGATCCGAGAGAAGATGTACATTATGGGGGGCGTCCATTGATCCACCTTCAGGCCACCTCCAGCAGGGCCACTGGCTGGGGGATGCCGGGGGACACACGTCAACACACCTGGGGGAGGCGGCGGGAGGACAGTCCACACGGAATAGAAAAGTAAATTAATGTGTTTAGGACCTACTGCTTGGACTCTGTGTGTGTGTGTGTGTGTGTGTGTGTGTGTGTGTGTGTGTGTGTAGAAAAATGAAAGAAAAATGTAGAGTTTTTTTCTTTTTCAATAATAAAAAGGAAGTTGCTCTGCGGGGCCCCTAAAGCTTGTGAAAAATTAAACTCGACGGATTCAAACTGTCCTATTTCCACTTCAAAAGGGAAGAGGCGCTGAGCCCTTCCCAACTTGGCTTCAAACGCCCAGCACCCTAGAAAGTTTCTGTAGAAAAATAAAGGCTGCTGTTCCCCCAAGCACTGTACCGGTTACTGTGCCCGCTGCTTCTCCCTCCACTAATTATACCCCTGTGAGTCTATTAATCAACTGGTAAATTATTTAGAGAGGCCCGCGCTGTCTTCAGCAGTACAAACACACCACACTGGAAGGCGGCTGGTAGCGGGCAGAGGTCCCCCAGGGTCTCCCCTCCTCGGGAAGGCAGCTTGCAGCTCGTACAGGCTGCACGGCTCCATACAGGAAATGGCATCCGCTTACCTCCTCAGATGGGGGCTTTAACTTGGTCTTTCAACTCCAAAACTCTTTGCAAGTTTTTAACAAAAGAGGAAAACCAGCCCATTGTCGACTCTTTCGTGTGCATTTAGTGATGAGAATATTAATTCCCCTTAAAAAAACGAAGCATTTCCACTAGGCTCTGATGCCCGCCACCTGGGACCCGGACTGGAAGAAGGCGCTGGGAATCGCTGGGAATCGTCCCAGTTTGAGCTGGTGTGGAGTGCTTGTGTTTTGATGGCTGGTTTTGCTAGGTGAGGACTCCTTACAGAAGGGTAGGAAGTGACGGTCTCAAAGCTCCCTCAGATCCCCCACCTCTGTTCAGGTTCCTTGAGGCCACGAGGGACCTTCCCAGGCAGAAATGTTTAGGAAATTGAGGCTGCGTAGAAGGAAAGGCAGCTGACACTTGGTAACGACCTGTTTCTCACCATTATCTTTTCCAAAGCACGCCAGAACCATCATTTATAGGGGAAAGTTATTATGCCAATTAAATAGCTGTGGTCTCCCCCTGGAAGTAAGCGCATACCCAGGATGTGCTAAGGAATGTGGGCCTTCCTATAGGAAACCCACTCTAGCAGGTGAGTCAGGCGTGCTGCTCAACCTGGCTGGGAGCAGCCCAATGCTTTCAGGCTCTTGGAAAGGCAAGAGATGGGAAAGCTAGGACCCAGCTTCAAAAGTCTCACTGCAGGGACAGGTCCTGGCCGGCAGGGCCCTGACAGGACCAGACTGTGGACAGCTGGAGTTGAGCCTCTCATATGCTTAGAGCAAAGGCTTAAACCAGCCAGGACAAGCTATGCCCTTGGTTGCTTTTAATCTCCTCCCTGGGTAGCTGTTCACTGAAAACCCAAGTGACATGTTAAAAAAAAAAACAAAAAACCCACAACCAAATCTGGGGTAGATGCCACCCTCCTGAACCGAGAAGATGGTAGTGTGTCACCAAGGAGCCTCACAATCTGAAAGTGAGTTACATCTCCAAAGAAGGCTGGACATACAGGTTCCCAAGTAGGTGAGTTGTGCCAGGCCTGAGGTAAACAGAGAGTGGGCCCCTGGCGCACCCCTACCGCCCCCTTGGTTTGGGGAAAGAACCTCAGCATGTATTGCCAAGTAGGTGAGTTGTGCCAGGCCTGAGGTAAACAGAGAGTGGGCCCCTGGTGCACCCCTACCGCCCCCTTGGTTTGGGGAAAGAACCTCAGCATGTATTTTGGGCAAAGCCCGTCAGTACTGACAATCTGATTTTAAATGATACAGATATGGTGGAGAACTTGCTTTTTCTGAGAGTCTGGAATCATTTTGACTCATTTCTCACCCAAGCGAAAGCCCTGGAGCTCCCCGGCAATGAAGGCGACATGATTGAGGCTCGACCCTGCGCGTGGCAGGCAGACTGAACCCCGTGGGCTGTAATGGAGGCAGCTTGCATAAAGAACGCCTCTCCAGAGCCCTGGGGAATAAATTTGTTCTGTCTGCTGCAGCTCGAGTCAGAATGAGTTTGGGAGGTCAGATCTATATATTTCAAAGTCCAGGGCACAGACTAAGCTGCTCACTGGCCCTCTGTCCGTGGTGCTGTCGCCTCGAGCTGGGACCGAGAGATTGAAGATGAGCTGCGATGAGGCCCTGGAGTCCTTTGCCCAGAAAATGTGGCGAGATGGGAGAACAGCAGTTATTAATTTTGTTGCTGATTCAAAAGGAAGAGGTGTTGGCAGCGCCTGTGAGGACCGAGAAAGAACATCACCGCGTCCGTCCGCAGAGGTCACAGCTGGGACAGAGCATCACAGAGCCCGGAGGGGGACACGGGAGGGAGTGGCTCTATGGGGGAAAGATGACACCTGGATCCATCCAGCCAGGCCGATGATGGCGGTAAGAAGGTCTGTGAGGGTGGCAGAGACGCACGGCAGCGGTAGAGCTGAGAGGCTCTGGTGCATACTTAGGTGAGCCAGGAGAGGAGAGGCCCTGAGCCTGCCACACAGGGACACCTGTCAGTGAGGAAGGTCAGGCCAGGAGCAGGAGCACAGGCAAGCAGGTGCTCACAGGTGGCGCAACAGTGTCCCCAGAAGAGTCTCCATTGCCTGGCTTTGAGGGTGCTTAGGACAGGGCTTCTAGGCTGGGTGGCTATGAGGAGGTGACGTCAATCAACTCAGAGAGAACAGGTGTCTCTGGCCCATGGTGGTATCCTTCTGCATTTTATTTTTTATTTCCTTGTATTATTATTATTATTATTATTTTATTATTTTGGTCTTTTTGAGACAGGGGCCCCCTGTAGCCCCAGCTGGCCTGGAACTAGCTATGTAGACCAGGCTGGCCTTGAACTCACAGAGATCCACTTTCCTCTGCCTCCTGAGTGCTGAGACTAAAGGCGTGCACCACCATGCCAGGCTTTACTTGTATTATTTTTGGAGACAGACTTTCATATAGCTTCGGCTGGCCTCAAACTTAAGGTATGTAGCAGAGGATGACCTTGAACTCTTGGTTCTTCTGCCTCTGCCTTTTGAGTGTTGGGGGTTATAGGTGTGTATCACACACTTGACATTCTCTATAATCTTGCCTGCTTGGCTAGCCAAACTCCCTGCACCTTAGAGGCCTTGATTCCCCATGGGAAAAATCAGAATCTGGTGTTTCCACATTCCTAGATTGGAGCCCAGAGCAGAGATGCCAGAATGTGCCTAGGATTCTGAAGAGGAGCATTGGGGCGTGCGCGTGCGGGCGTGCACGCACACACACACACACACACACACACACACACAAAGTAATGGCGTGGCCGTGATCTCCCTCTTCTGTCCTCTAGCATTCCGATGGGGCCTCCTAACCTGAGCAGTGTGAGGAACACTTTTCCATTCATCCAAGTCTCATCCCACACCAGGTCTGGGGGTCCATCTCTATGAGCCACCATCAGGATGTGGTCATTTTGGGGCGGCTTTCCCCAAGCCTGAATGGTTGTGACATCTCTAACTTGCTGGTCCAGACAGATGGTGCCTGCTGCTTCGAGGACTGCCTTCTTAGGAGCTGTCTTAGGTGTGTGTGTGTGTGTGTGTGTGTGTGTGTGTGTGTGTGTCTGTGATAAAACACTAACAAAAGCAACTTAATGGAGAGAGGGTTTATTATGGCTCAGAGTTCATAGTGGGAAAGTCAAGGGGGCAGAAGCTTAAAACAGCTGGTCACGTCCCTCCACAATCAGGAAGCAGTGATGGGTGCTGCCGCTGCTCAGCTCCCTTTCTCTATTTTATATAATCCAGGATCCCTGCCAGGGAGTGTTTCTGCCCACAATTAAGATGGGCTTTCAGACCTCAACTGCCAGGTTGACAATCATCACTGACCAGCACAGGATCAGAATTCAGGGTGGGGTCTGGATGTGGCCGATTGCCATTCCCTAAACATGAACATCAGCACACCCCTGGAATAGGGCACCCCTGAGTCACAGGTGCCCAATGCCCTGATGGCCTCCGTCAGGCCTCCAATAGTAAGACTGTGGTTGGCTGGGCAGTTCCCTGTTCCTTCTGGCCGTCCCTTTAAAACTGAACGGTGGAGACTCACTCAGCAGCCTTCCTGCCCCAGCTGGTGGGAAGAGGCCCCTCTGTCTTGGGCAGTGCTTATACCCCTCCCTCAAGCTTCTCTATAGCCCACTAACGAGGCCCTGGGTGATGTGTGCAAATGTATGCCTTGCTATCCCTGCAAGATCAAGGTTAGCGAGACCGCAGAATCTACTGCTTTGGTCGGGAAGGTATGATATTGGTTGTTGTGTCTTTAATTTTGTAGGGAGAGCGAAAGTATAGTGTTGCACAGACTAAATAAACAGAAAACTGTTGGGGCGCAAGACGCTGAAGAGCTATGCTATCCGGGGAAATGTGCACCTGCTGCTCACAGTCACAAAACCCTAGACCTCAACCAGAGCCACGCTTCTCAGCTGGGACCTACTGAAGGGCCTCCTCAGTCTGTCTGGCTGGATGAAATCACCCTGCAAAGGTGATGTGCTGTGTCTCCACAGGAGGAAATGACAAGCCATTGCTCCCACTTATGCCTCAGACACAGAGTGAGTCAAAGCCTAGCACCCACGATCGGCGAGAAAAGTGAGGCAGAATCCTAGAAGATGTGTGCCTCGGGACCCCATAAAGAAGCAACAGGCAGCATCCCAGGAGAACCTCCAAGATGACCCTCCAGGACACCTGAGGACCGAGGAGAGCTGGGATGAGCCGCCACATTCTTCTCCAACAATTTCAAAACGTGACTTGACAAAGAAAATGGAAACTGCTGTCAGCGCCAGCTGCCAACTCGACACACCTGGGAACAGGGCCCTCAGCTGAGGAGTTTCTTCCATCAGCTTGGTCTGTAGCCACGTCCATGGGGCATTTTCTCAATTGCTAATTGAAAAGAAAGGGAGCTGAACGTGAATCTGGGGGCAAGCCAGCAAACCGCGTTCCCCGGGTCTGCTTCAGATCCTGCCTCCAGGCTCCTGTCTTGAGTTCCTGCCTTGACTATCTTCAGTGGTGGATTGTAACCTGTAAGCCAAATAAACCCTTTCACCCTTGTTGGTTTTGATCATGATGTCTTTGTTTTAATATTTTATTATTTTTATTTTATGTGTATGAGTGTATTGCCTGCAATGTAGGTAAGTGCACCTGTGTTGTGAAATGCCCGAGGAGGTCTGAAGAGGACATCAGATCCCTTGGAACTGGAGTTATGAACCGTTATTAGCTGCCATATGGGTGCTGGGAACCGAACCTGGGTCCCCTCAAGAGCAGCCAGTGCTCTTAACCACTGAGCCATCTCTCCAGCCCCCAGCATTTTTATTCTTTTGAGACAGGGTCTCCCTGCAGTCCCAGCTGACCTGGAACTCGCTATATAGACCAGGCTGGCCTTGAACTCACAGAGCTCAACCTGCTTCTGTCTCCCGAGTGCTGGGACTAAAGGCGTGTGCTCAGCTTGGTCATATGTTTACCACAGCAACAGGAAAGCAAACTAGGATGGAACCTAATGGAAAATCAAACACCTTCTTATGTGAAGAGACGTTGTAAAGCAGTTGAAACAAAACAAACAGGAACAACAACAACAAAAAAAACCCCAAAACCCCAAAAACCTTCTTTCATGGTTGGCATTGGTTGTCGACTTGATACACCTGGGGAGAGGGATCCTCCACTGGGGAATTTCCTCTATCAGATTGGCCTGTGGGCGTGTCCATGAGGCAGTAATGTGGGAGGGCCCAGTCCACTGTGGGTGGTTCTGTGCCCAGGTGGTTCCTGGGCTGTACACGAAAGCAGATTGAGCAGAGGTCAGAGGATCACGCCAGTAAACAGCGTTCCTCTGTGGTCCGCCCTTCGGTTCCTGCCTGAGTTCCTGCCTGAGTTCCATCAAAGATGGACTGTCACTTGGAAGTGTAAGATGCAATAAACCCTTTCCTCCCCAAGTTGGTTTGGATCACAGTGTTTTATCACAGCAAGAGAAAGTATCTAGGACACCGTCATTGAAAAATAGAGCTAAGAGTGTAGGGGCAGTGGTAGAGCATTTGCCTAGTGGGTCCAAGGCCCCATGTTCCATCCCCAGCACTGCAGTAAACAAACAAAAGTTGGGTAAAGAAAAACACAAGCCAATAAGCCACAGCAATCCACAACAGCTGAAATACACCTGATCAATTTCCTTATCAAAATATGTTCAACCTTACCAACCTCACTAGTAATCAAAATGCCACAGTTAAATAGGTTTTTTGTTGTTGCTGGTCTAATAGACTGGAAAAGCTTATTTTTCTGGTAGGGTAGAATAATTTTTCTCCAACCTCCAAAAAGATGTGTATCTACTTGAAGCAGGCAAGCGTTAAGGAACATCTTAGCAACCCAGACTCCACTTGGCCTGGCTTACGCATGTACCCAGCATCCTGCTAAGCATCTTAGGACCTCTCCCTGCATCAGGCTGCACTTACACCTGCTTTAAACAATGTGAATATTTTACTCCCTTTGGAGATCCCTTGCTAATACCCCATTTCTAGTCAAATATATCCTGGTACACAATCTCAGAACACTAGGCAATAGGATGGTCTGGCCTACACTGGTTTTGGGTGCAAACACAGTAAGGGCAAACTGTGTTCTCAAAGAGAACTTTTAGGGTGAATTCTCTATTTACCATCTCAGCCTATGTATAAGTGAGTACACATGTAACTGAAATCAGATGACTATGGGAAGAGACGTGCAGGGAGCAAAGGCTCACATAATACAAACCTATTAGTCAAAACAGAGAACCACCAAAACTATCCCTTCAGAACCCAAAGTCCTCCTTCTCTTGAACCCCATAAAAGGAAACTACCAACGATCAGGCCCTGAATACTTGTTCCTGTGACTGCTGTCAGTCTTGACAGTGTAAGTCTTTCTGATATGCGCTGACTTTGCTTTAAAATAAAGTTGCTTTGCTACTTTTGCAAATCTGTGTGAACAGTCACTTCAATTCTTTGAATACGAGGCCAAGACCACAGAAACACCCAAATCAGACCCCCAACCACTAGCAATATCCTGACCCCTGGTGCCTGTGAGGATTTCACTTATCCAGCATGGCCAAAGGGACTCCACAGATGAGATCAGGTTAGGAGTCTTAAAAAAATTTTTTTTTAATTTACTTATTTTTATTTTACGTGTGTTTTGCTTGCATGTATACAAGTGTACCTGTGCATGCAATGCCCATGGAGGTCCAAAGAGGGCATTGGATCCCCTTGAACTAGAGTTGCAGATAGTTGTTAGCTGTCGTGTGGGTGCTGGGAACTAAACTGAGTCCCCTGCAAGAGCAGCCAGTGCTCTGAACTGCTGAGCCATCTCGCCAATCCCTGGGTTAGGGATCTTGAGATGGAAAATGACTCTGGGTTTGAATTATTTGAGTTTGAGTTCTTAAAAAGGGAGGCAGGAGGGTCAGGGTCAGAGGAGATGTGATAAGGGAAACAGAGAAAGGGGGGAAGGAGAGAGAGGAAAGAGACTATGCTGTTGGCTTTGGAGAGGGAGAGGACGTAACCGTCAAGGAACACAGGTTCAGGTCTCTAGGAATTTGGAGAAGGTAAGGTATATAGTCTTCCCCAGAGTCTGGACGGCCTTTTGATTCAGGATTTCTGACCACCAAGATTATCAGAAAATAAACTTGTGTTGTCTTGTCCCACTAAGTCTGAAACAGCAGCAATAGACAAAAGCCTGCAGCCCAGGACAGCATTCCACATCTACTGTTAATGGGTGTGATCTTTGACCCAATCCATTGCTATATCTGAAGATCATCAGGCATGTTGCAAACCTGTGTCAATGAGCAACTATGCCTTGTCGCATAACTGGAACAGTGTGAACTTGGAAACCACTTAAACATTTACTTTTCTGGAGCTTTATATTTTGGAAAAAAATTCAGATATACAGAGGCACGGCAGGGAGAGCCAAAGGGTTCCTGCACAACCCCCACGGGAGACTTGCTGGCTGCTCACTCTCCCCCCACACACTCAGCTCTCATCTGCTGTCTTTGTGTCTGATCCCCTGGGTGCTTGCTGGTGGGCAGTTAGTTTTTCATGTAGTCAAGGGTAAAGGTCAAAGCCATACCCAGATATGTGCCTCTGGTGTCCTGGTCACTTATTTAATCCCACATATCTGCAGGGTGCTGTCCACCTCCCTCGGTATGGAACTGGGGCTGTGTGGAAGGGAGCAGGGTATGTTTGGGGGCAGACAATCTCCATCTCTACTATTATTTGTATTTGTTATTGTTTTTATTTTGAGACAAGATCTCGTGTAGTTCAGGCTGACCTCACGTAGCTGAAGATGACCTCCTGCCTCCATCTTCCAAGCACTTGTATTTCAGGCGGGCATTACCAGGCCTAGTTCACGCTGGGATTCCACCTAGGGCTTTCATGTATCAAGAGCTCTACTGACTGAGCCACATTCCTAGCCCTGCTGTGGCTTTTTAAAAACTGCCACCTCACCTCCCAGGCCCTGTGTGGGCAGTCCAGCTGATGCTCATCAACCTGGCACACATGGACTCCTAGCTCCACTCTGTTCTTTGAGAAGCCCAGGAGGGTTCGGGGGGGGCACATGGCTGGTGGGGGCAACAATGGAAGGCTTACCAGTCCGCAAAGCTCTGAGGGGCACACTGGGTCTCACGCTGCCAAGAGCCTCCTGCCGCCATCTTGTTTTAGGCACCCTCAGTGACTTGGGAATGGGCTCATTGCTGGCCTGCACACCGTCTCTCACGGAGCCCACCCCACTTCACTTGAACTTCACCCAGGGTACTAGGACGTCTTTTGGAGGCCTTGGCTGGGATGTACCCCAGGAAGTCCTTTCAGTTGGGGGTTGGGGGCAGGTATCCTCATTAACTCATTCTACCCAAAAGGTGACAGGAAACTTGTTTTAGGCACCCTCAGTGACTTGGGAATGGGCTCATTGCTGGCCTGCACACCGTCTCTCACGGAGCCCACCCCACTTCACTTGAACTTCACCCAGGGTACTAGGACGTCTTTTGGAGGCCTTGGCTGGGATGTACCCCAGGAAGTCCTTTCAGTTGGGGTTGGGGGCAGGTATCCTCATTAACTCATTCTACCCAAAAGGTGACAGGAAACAGCCAAGCACACCCCAACAGCAGGATGTCCCCATCAACACACACACTGCTCCCACAATGGCCACTTTGCAGGGGTCTGTTTTCTTCATGAGAAGTGTCCTTTCGCGTCTGAGGTAAAAAAACTGAGCTCATGTGGCTATGCAGAGGCACTACAGGACCTCATGCAAGAGAAGAGGACACCCTTGGGAAGACACACAAGATCTGGCACAGGTCAGGTCCAGCCTGGCTGTGTGGCCTCAGCAGCTCGGAGCCCTCTCTGGGGCTTGTCTGTGACCTCAGGAAGTTGGCCTGAAGGAGCTCAGAAGTAGCCTTTCTGGAGGATCAGATCCAGGAATGTTTTCAGACCATAGATAACACCTGGGGTCTGGATAGACCATCCAGTCCACTTCCCCATCAGGCCCTCCTCTGGCCCACCCTGGCATTTGCAGCAGCTGATAGCTGATACAGGGAGCTCCCCTGAGGACCTGGGTGTTAAGCGTTATCAGTTGTGAAAAGCGAACCTTCTAAACAGGCACTTTATGACCACAGATGTCAAGGCCACCACATCCTCAGACTGACATGGTGTGGGATCAGGTGTGGGCACCATACAGCTTCACAGAGTGACAGACCACAGCCACAGGACTTCCCCAAGCACCCATTTCCCCGGCTGACCTCAAACCCACAGGTGTGCAGAAGGCATTCCCTGGAGCTGCCAAGCTGGGCCAGCTAGCGAGGCGTGTGGCCTACCTGTCATCTGCTTTTCAAAGAAGGGCTGGATGAGCTCCCCGAAGCTTGACTTGGCTGCCACAGCCTCCTTCAACAGCTGCCCACAGAAGACTGAGGGGGAGAAAGCGGAAGGCACCGTTAAATTTTAAATAGAGGGAAGGTTGAGAAAAAAGGAACTCCAGTGTACGCTGCCTGCTGGAGTGGGAAAGGTCACCGAAAAAAAATATAAAAGGCTTCTGTGTGGGGTGGTGGGGGTGTCCACGAGAAAGTAAATATCCAAAAGGAACTCGGACATTAGGAGGGAGGGAGAGGGTGATGCAAAGGAACGCATCCGGTAAAGAAGTATTAAAAATGGACGGCCCAGGAAGACACTAACAAGGCTGTCACTGACAGAGAAGGACCTGCGGGGCCCTGCTATACGCCAAGCTGTAGAACGAACTTGGTGTTCTCCAGGATGCAGTGGAGGAACATGTGGTTGGGAACCCGCTGTGTTCATGTTCACAGTGTTTGGGCACTGGGAGGTTGGGGAGTGTGGTGGAGTCCCAGCCCTTCTAGTAGGCTATGTGTTCCAGAGATGTCTTTATGAAAGACCTAGGGCTATGCCAAACACACTGATTCATAATTAAAGGCTCTGCATTACAGCCACCTGGTGGTGGCCACTTACCAACACCCCCCTGCAAACCACCACCAAACGCAGGACCTCAGCAGCTAGGGCCTTTTCTGTCCTGTCTCATTGGTCTCCAGCCTTGAGTCATGACTGGTACATGGGAAAGGTCGGTCAGCAGATGTTGAATGAATAAACACAGGCTCTCAAGGGCTGGAGATGGCTCAGTGGTTAAGAGCGCTGACGGCTCTTGCAGAAGACCCAGGTTCAGTTCCCAGCACCTACATGGCAGCTAACAACCATCCATAACTCCAGTTTCCGGGGATCCAATGCCTCCTTTTAACCTCCAAGGGCATTATATGAGACGGGTGCACTTACACACATGCAGGTAATATACTCACATACATAAAATAAAAATAATAAATAAAATATTTAAAAACAGGCTCTCAGGGCTGGAGAGATGGCTCAGCGGTTAAGAACACTGACTGCCCTTGCAGAGGACCCGGGTTCAATTCCCAGCACCCACATGACAGCTATGAACCATCCTTTACTCCAGTTCCAGGGGAATCCGACGCCCTCTTCTGACCTCCACGGCATTGCACAACACAGGTGCACTCACATACGTGCAGGCAATACACTCACACACATAAAATAAAAATAATAAAAATATTTTCTAAAAAAACAGGCTCTCAAGCCAGGTGTGGTGGCACATGCCTTTAATCCCAGCACTCGGGAGGCAGAGGCAGACGGATCTCTGTGAGTTCGAGGCCAGCTTGGTCTCCATTAGCAAATCCAGGCCAGCTGCAGCTACAGGGAGACCTTGACTCAAAAAGACCAAAAAACGAAATAAAACAAAACAAAACAAAACAAAAAACAGGCTCTCATTGCCAGCCAAAGCCAGTTTTGTTTTTATTTTTAATTATGTGTCTGTGTGTCTATGTTTGGGTATGTGCACATGAGTACAGATGGCGTCAGATACCCTGGGGCAGGAGATACATATGGGTGCTTGTGAGCTACCTCATGTGGGTGCTAGGAACAGAACTCAGGTCCTCTAAAAGAACAGAGGGCTCTTAGCATCATCCTTCAAGGCCCATTGCAAATGTTGAACTTATAAGGCCATCTGTCATCCCCTCTGATGGGGTTCTTATTTGAATTGGTAAGAGTGACAAAATCATGACAGTAAAGTATCATAAGCACAGCAGATATATATATATATACACACACATATATACATATATGTGTATATATACATATATATACATATATACGTATATATATACACGTATATATAATTTATGTGTGGGTATACATGTATATGTGTATATATCTTGTGTATGTGAGTGCATACCCACATGTGCATGCAAAGGCTAGAAGAGGGTATTGGGTTTCCTCCTCTATCCATCTCCAACTATTCCTTTGAGGCAGTCTCTCCTGAACCAGAGGCTCTTGAGATCTTGGCTAGGCTGGAAGCCAGCAAAGCCCCAGCCATCCTCTGGGCTCTGCCTCCACTGAAGCTGGAGTTACAGGCATGTGTAGGACCCCTGGCATGTTATGTGGGTTTTGGGATCGGAACTTTGCCTCTCATGGTTACATAGCAAATGTTCTTAACCACTGAGCTATTTTTCCAGTCCCAGCCAGAAGGCTTAAGGGTTGTATTGAGTTGCTAGTTGTGAAATCTTGGCTTTATAAGCTTTGGAGTTAAGGACTTTCCTGCCTATACTAAAAAACAAAAATCAACCCTGAGTTGAACATAGTGGCTCACACCTTTAATCCCAGCACTCAGGAGGCAGAGGCAGGCAGATTTCTATGAGTTCAAGGCCAGCCTGGTCTACATGGCAAGTTCCAGGCCAGCTGGGGCTACAGGGAGAGCCTGTCTCAAAAAGACCAAAAAAAAAATCAATCCTGAAAGTAGCTGGAGGGAGAGATACAAATGAAGGTGGTGATGAGATGTCTGTGAAGCACTCTGCTGTTCCCTTTGTCTCCTTGGGTCCTGTCAACCACCTGGTGCTTTTAAGAAGGAAAGAGACTCAAAGAAGTAAAGTAATCCATTCCGGGTCACAGAGCCTGTAAGTGCAGAGCTGGGATCCAACACAGGTCTGGGCAATGCCAAACCCAGTGCTCAGGCCCCAGTTCTGGTCAGGAAGGAATGGCAGGTATCGTGTGTACGTTCCCTTACAGAAAGCCAGAAAACCAAACAAAAGTTATTTTCACACCAGACAACAGGCAGCACAGGACTGTGGTTCTTGTCACCTGGATTTCTATGTTTATTTATTTATGTGTGTGTGTGTATGTGTGTGTGCAGGCATGCATGCCACAACGTGCATATGGCATGTGGAGGTCAGAGGACAGCCTGCAGGAGTTGGGTCTCTCCTACCACTATGTGAGTTCTAGAGCTCAAACTCCAGGTCTCCTGGGGATTGAACCCAGGTCCTCATGCTTGCACGACAAACACTTTACCAACTAAGCTAGCTCCCCAGCTCAAGATTCAAAGTTTTTTTTTTTTAACTTATTATTTTGGGCCGGGCGTGGTGGCGCATGCCTTTAGTACCAGCACTTGGGAGGCAGAGGCAGGTGGATCTTTGTGAGTTCAGGTCCAGCCTGGTCTACATAGTGAGTTCAGGTCAGCTGGGGCTACAGGGAGACCCTGTCTCAAAAAGACACACACACACAAAAAAAACATTATTTTATGTGCGTGTGCATACATGGTGTACAGGCGTGCACATGACACACATGTAAGTTGAAGGACAACTCTCAGGAGTTGGTTTTCTCCTGCCATCTAGTGGGATCTGGAGCTAGAACCCAGGTTAACCTACCCACTGAGCCATCTTACTGGCCCCAAACTCAAAGCTCTTACTGCAGAAGCTCAAAACCCACTTTCAACAGGAATACCAACGTCCAGCTCATAAGTGAAAATCACTGGACACAGACAAAATGGAAACTTTGAAAGGAGAGGAAATGGGTCGTGGAATCTGATCAGAGATGACGGACATTGTCAGAATCAGCACACAAGGCTTCAAGGCAGTAGCTATAAGTGCATTTTTAAACTTTAAAGGAAAAGATAGTTAAAATGAATAAACAGATAGGTACCACCAGCAGACAAGCGGAAACCAGAAACACAGGGCCAGACAGAATGGCAAGTACAACAGTTTAAATGAGAAGCCGTCACTCTAACCAGTGGGTCTGAAGGTAAGAAAGCAGGAACAGAAGGTTCTAACCTTAACAATGGGCGGTGAGACCAGGCTGGGAGGGGCCATAAACACACATACACATCGCCAGAGTCCAGCAAACAGAGAGGGAGGAGGGGGCATAAAAACACCCTGGAAAACAGCTGCAGAAGAATTTCAGATTTGGGGGACAAATACGCATCCAAGAATCGGTGCGATCCAGGCAGAATAAACACAAAGTTGATTTTCCATGTTGTAGTCAAAATGCTAAAAGTCAAAGCGAAAGAGAAAACACTAAAAGCAGCCAGAGGGGAGAAAAGAGGCCTCTGTCGGCAGAATGACAACGACAAAAATAATCTCCGAGTTCCCATCAGACAAAACGCAAGCCATGAAACAACGGAGTGGCACCTTCAAAGCACCGAAAGAGAAAGCCCCCAAGTCTGTCAGCATAGATTTCTATATACAGCCAAACAGCCTTCAGAAATGAAGGCAAAAAAATGGTATTTTCAGACATGCGAAAACTGACTTTGTCACTGGCAGACCTGAGGAACAGACATGGTAAAGGAAGTTCTGTAGGCTGAGAGGAAATGATGCCAGGTGGAAACCAGCCTGAAGGAAGGAACTGAGACTGGAGATATTCGCTTCGTGGAACAGTCTCCTCCCCACCGAATCCCTTGATGTCTTCAAAAGACAGCAAGTAGAAACCAAAACAAAAAACAAAACCGGGGCTGGAGGGACGGCTCAGCAGTTAAGAGCACTGACCGCTCTTGCAGAGGATCCAAGTCCCACCCCAGCGTCCAGTTCTAGGGAGTGGAATCCAATGCCCTCTTCTGGCCTCCCTGAGCACTACATACACCCTGGTGGTTTGAGACAGGGTCTCCCTGTAGTCCCAGCTGGCCTGGAACTCATTGTGTAGACCAGACTGGCCTCAATCTCCCTGAGATCTGCCTGCCTCTGCCTCCTAGGGGCTAGGATTAAAGACGTGCGCCACTACACCTGCCCTAAAATA